AGCCAGGGAAATAAAAGGTAAAACTTTCTGCGGTTTAGGGTTTAGGGTTTAGGGATTAGTACCAAGTTATAAGAACCCCAAAAGTTTAGCCGAAAGTTTATAAAGGTTGGGTACTGGAGAACTAAGATAAGGAAAAAGGCTCAGGCGTTCAGGTGCTGGGTCTTTTGGAGGGGTTTAGGGTTTAGGGTTTAGGGTTTAGGGTTTTGGTTTAGGGTTTAGGGTTTTTAGGGTTTATAGTTAAGGGTTTAAAACTCAAGGTTTAGAGTCTGGGCTTTTTTTGTGGGGGGGGGTTTAGGGTTTAGGGTTTAGGGTGTAGGGCTCAGGGTTTAGAGTTTGGGCTTTGGGGGTTAGGGTTCAGTTTAGAGTACTATAGCGCCTTAAATCCCAAAGGCGCGCCGAGGATGACTCTATCCAGGGCCAAAGCCTACAAATCTCGAAGATTGACCTGCAAACCCGAGAGCCCACAATTCGAATCCCTATAAACCCCTGGATCACCGTTTAGGATGCGGGATTTAGGGTGTTCCTAAACCCTAAACCCTAAACCCTAAACCCTAAACCCTAAACCCTAGACCCTAAACCCTAAACCCTAAACCCTAAACCGGGCTTCGGGTTTAGGGGGCGTTTGGGGGCAAAGCCCCAGCCCAAACCTCGAAACATACCATCCCAAACCCCTGAACCCTGACGGAACCCCGAATCCTCGAAACCCGAATCACCCGGTTGAGGGTTTAGGGTTTAGGGTTTAGGGTTTAGGGTTTAGGGTTTAGGGTTTAGGATTGCCACTCTAAACCTCAAAAACTTTAAAAGCAAGAAGGCCCCAAAAAATCCCAATTCTCATCGAACTGACCGAGGAGTTCTTCGAGTCAATGAAGCGAAACTGCAACTTGTCCTCCGGGTTCTTGGTAACTTAGGGTTTAGGGTTTGGGGTTTAGGGTTTAGGGTTTAGGGTTTAATTAAAGTTAGCATAATACAGAAACCATATTATTTACTATAGATCCCTACTATGGTAACTTAAAACCCTAAACCCTAAACCCCAACACCCTAAACCCTAAACCCTAAACACCTTAACAAGAGCCCCGTCCTCCCTGCAAGCGTTCCAGAAGCAGAGCCTGACGTTTCGGGTTTCGGTTTTCGGGGTTTGGCGTTTAGGATTTAGGGTCTAGTGTTTAGGATTTCTGGTTTCGGGTTTAGGGTTTAGGGTTTAGGGTTTCGGGTTTCGGGTTTAGGGTTTAGGGTTTAGAGTTTAGGGTTTAGGGCTTAGGGTTCAGGGTTTCGGGTTCAGGGGTTAGGGTCTACCTGAATCCAATAAGCTACCTGTTTGCGCTCCTTATGATGAATTCCTTATATGTCATTAAAAATAAAGCCGGTACTTAAGGTCCAGGTAGGGCTTAAAGTCGAGTTAGGTTTAGGCTTTAGGGTTTAGGAGGATTTAGGGTTTAGGGTTTAGGTTTTAGGGTTTGGGGTTGAGTTGGGTTTTGGAGCTCTGGGGGTGAAATTGGGGTGTTTTGGGCTGTGGGGCTTGTGGCTTTTGTTGCTTCAGGGTTTAGGGGTTTAGGGTTTAGGGGTTTAGGGTTCAGGGTTCAGGGTTTAGGGTTTAGGGTTTAGGGTTTAGGGTTCTGAATTAGGGTTTTTTTTGCTTTAGCGTTCGCGCGGTTAGGTTTTAGGGTTTAGGATTTTGCATTTAATGCTCCTTTAGACATTCTCCTACAGAGCGTCCTACCATGTAGGTCCATACTGCGGGTCGCTGATCCTCGCAAACATCACCACGACAGCGAAACTCGTTGTACCAGAATTCACTGTAACAACCGGTGCAACACGTAAATGGCGATGCTGGTCACAGAAAAATCGCTGCCTCTAGTTTGGTCGCCTGCCGTTCATAACTCGACACACAGAAAGAATACGAGCATCGATGCACACACGCACACTGTGCCTGTGCGAATGTGTTACCGGTAGTAAACCAGTTCGAAAGCTTTAGTTTGAACAGAAGTTGGTGCGGATTCCTCGCCGTTCTCCTACATCTGCCACAACCATGCGTTGGTTCAGCTATGATGCCACATGAAAGCAAGTGCGGATAAAATGATGCCTGAGTGCCAACGAGAAGAACAGCAGAACAAGGATGCACAATGCCGCGTAAATAGGGAACAATCAGGCAGCTAGCAAAACAACAACAGGCGGATAACCCTAAACCCTAAACCCTAAGATCGACAATAAACACCGTACAGGCAAACATATGCGCAACGATGCGGAGAACAAACAGTAGAGGCCCTAAACGCCAACACCTAAATCCTGAACCCAAAACCCCGAACCCTGAACCCTAAACCCTAAACCCAAGTCCACGGAATGATCCTAAAACCCTAAACCCTAAACCCTCAACCCCTAAACCCTAAACCCTAAACCTTAAACCATAAATCCTAAATCCTAAACCCTAAACCCGAGTTCCTAGTCCGAGGAGTGGTTCTAAACTCTACACCAGGGGGCGTCAGAGTGAGATCTTGGCAATCGAAGGGAAACCTCTGATGCTCCAGACACTCCTGGGAGCAGTGGAGGGTTTAGGGCTTAGGGCTTTAGGGGTTTAGGGTGGTTTGGGGTGTAGGCTTTAGGGCTTCGGGTTTCAAGTTTAGGCTTTAGGCTGTATGGCGGTGCCAAGGGGCCGTGTGCTTTGGGGTTTAAGGCTTAAAGAGCTTGGGCTTCAAGGGCTTGTGAGTTGAAAGGACTTCAGGCTTAAGGTTTAGTACCTTGAGCTACCATAATCTACTTTGTTGTCGGTTCTGAAGATAGACCCCAATATGGAATTATAGGGACCCTACAACAGGTAGGGTTCAATAGGGTTTAGGAGTATATGGCTTCAGGGTGTAAGGGTTCTAAGGGGCTAAATGGTTTAAGGATTTGAGGGTGGAAGGATTCAAACCTTCAGGGCTTATTCTGGGTTCTTGTCTAGGAGCTCCACTTAAGCTACTATAATAGGGATCTATAGAATCTATAGTGAATAAACGGGTTTCCTTATTATGGTAACTTAGATTGAATTCCTTAAGAACAACCCAGTTAAGGGTTTAGGGGTTTTGGTTCGGCTTCAAACTCTATACCCGACCCTCTACTCTAAACCCTGAAACCCTAAATCCTGAAACCCTAAACCCCGCATCTCCGACCCCCAAACTCCAAACCCCCAAATCCAAACCAGCTCTCGCATCCGAAAGTTTAGGATTTAGGGTTTAGGGTCCCAGATGTTGGTGATCACCTACGAAGACCGAACATGGCTTTCTTCTGCCCAAATCGGGACTTCAAGAACATAGGAGCACGAAATCGGAGGAGGGTGGGTGCCTCTAATGGGGTCTATGCTAAGGGCCCTGTTATTCAGGAACCCTAACCCCTAATCCCAAAACCTGCAGAACTCGAATCCCCAATGCTGGCCTACTGCCTAGTTCTGACACCCGAGACCACATGTTTTGGATATCTCAAGTGAGGATCACCGAGACCTGAATGGAAAAGCCAGCGTCTATACTTGAAGCACACACATTGAGGAAAGGTTCCGAAAACTCACCCGCGATCTTCCAAGTAAGGCTCATCTTGTGGGTGGCACCTGTTCGCTCTTGCTCATTGCAGGTCTTGAGTTTGGGTCGGGGCCCTGAACCCTAAACCCCAAACCCCTAAACCCCTAAACCCCCAAACCTTAAACCCTGAACCTCTAAACCTAAACCCCTAAACCTTAAACCCTAAACCCCTAAATGCTAAACCCTAAAGTCCCCAAAGTCCCTAAAGGGTCTTAGGATTCTGAGCTGGAGGTTGAAGGCTGGGGATCGTGGTGTTCGCGGATGAGCGTCTGGACTTGGGAGTCTGGCGGGTTTCGGCTCAAAGGCGTTTTTAGGGTTAAGGGTTTAGGGTT